TTTGTAAATATACCAACTTATTACTATAAGTAAAAGGGTATAGGGGAAATGAAAACATAGTTTAGTAAGATGTTTAGGTTTTAACTGTTGGAAATTTGAAGTAAATTTGAAGGGTTTCGCTTCTGACGAACCAAAGCACATTTTATGTTGTTCGATATTGTTCGTAGTATTTTGGACTGGAAAACTTGACGAGGAGAAAATATGAGTGCTATTACAGCCCCCTCTCACCCAAAAAAAAGATTTGGTATAAGTTGCGCATTTACATTGCATTTATATAAACAATTAACCTTTTTAGGTAAGTTATAATAATATATATATATATATTTAACATTTTATTGAAGTATACAAATTTAGTTTCATCGCTCTCCGTTTGAATTCCTATTATTACTGAGTWTATAGTTTTTAACATAATGTTAATCATTAAATATTATTGCAATTAAATCATTGCAAGAAATAGCAACTAGTTTTTAATTTTTATAAACGGGTAGTAATGTCAACGATTTTATTTATTATTTATGACTGCGGGAATAGGACAGAATTTAACGGAGCGGCAATATATTGTGACATGTTGCCACTAGAAAAACATTGATAGGGTCGTAGATGTTTACTCGTCAAACATATTATTTTTGTTTTTTTTTAATGTTATGTAGATAAAAAAGTTTAAAAAAAAGTTTAATTAAAAAAAAATTGAATCTTGATTTTATTTGTTGTAATATTATAACTTATAATTAATTATATTTATATTTATTTTAGTATAGGAATATGCTTMAATTTTTAATGCATGTCTTTTTTGTTTTACTGAATAAAATTTAAGTTGGCTTTTTGAATAGAGCTATAGAATGTGAATATCATAATACCCAGGTGTGCAAAAATTCCAAATATACTGTCCTGTATCGGAGTCTCAATAAAATTAAGTGCACAATTTACTTTTACGAAATTTTTTATAATATTATACTATATTAGAACTTATTATGAACAATTTAGAACTACTACTGAAAAAGTATGCATTGATTCTTTATGTACCTATCTATTTGTCTAGTTTTTACTGTATATTTTTTAAAATTTAATTTTATAGTACCTACTTTAACATTATTAAGSTCATCACCACCTGAGAAGTATTTAGTCGCTTTATACATTGTATTTCGAAACTTATTGATTTCAAATGTATTAAAATTGAATCTATAGTATGGATAATATATTATTACAATACATTTTTTGATCTTTATAAAACATTAAACATAATTGATACAGATATGTGTGCATAATATATATACAATGTGTATTGGATTATGAAAATAACCAATAAATATATAATTTATCAAAAATTTATAAAATAGACTTAGTTAGTAGTATGTCGTGACTGTATTATATGGATGTTTTTATTCGATGCTCGTACTTACTGCCATCCATCATTAACTTCATAATAATATGTGTGCCCTTCTATAGTTTGATAAATTGTTTCTGACTTAGTCATCTAACTTATTGATTATAGTATTTTTTTTAACATGAATTATCATATACCTATCTAGGCGTATAATGAAAWTTTTAGTTTTTTTAAAATTATTGTTCTGAAATGAGAACACCATGGGGACATCCACGCTTGAGCCGAAGCATAGTAGGCTTGTAATTTAGTAATTTAGTATGATATATAATGYACTTCTTGAGTGATTTAGTTGGTCAAAAAAGTTGATCAAGAGATTTTGTAAGTAGGTTTAACTGTGGCAAGTCTGAAGTCTGTGTGAAGGAATTCGTTTCTGACGAACCAAAGGTCATTTGATGTTGTTTGTAGTATTTTGGACTGGRAAACTTAAATTTAATTTATAATTTATATGGGGTTTTACACAGTTACCTTGAAGGGGAAATTCATKAATGTATTAATGCGTATTTGTTTTTCAACGGCTCTTTGTTATAATATCAGTATAATTTATTTGTAAAAATCTGAAATGATTTTTCGTAAATTATGCTATATTTAAATTGTCAAGATATTATAATATGAAATTATATCAATGATAGTTCTGAAMATGCAACTGATAATGTAATTTTACTTAAAACAAGTTTTATTTGTAACGAATTGACGACGCTTAATACAATTTATTTATTTGTATTGTTTTTGTTTATGATAAATACTTATTAGTATAACCTATTCGCATTAATTTAAAAATCTATTTTGTTTAGCCGATAATATTATATTTAAACAATTACATTTTTATTGAAATAAATTATTATTAAGTGTCAACGAGTATTACGTATGTTACCTATATATTTTTATTGCATTTTTTTTTTATAGACAACTGAAGAAAAATTAACCCGTACACCACTTACGTGTAAATATTTATATTTTATTTATATGACATGTAGTAGGTATACAATAATATACATATGATAAGATTTGAAATTTTATTAAGATACATTTTTTTTTTATTGCCTGTGTTACTTTTTGTTTGATTTATAATTGCTTAAGTGTGTAATATTCATACTTACAATAGTATAGTTCTTATTTTAATCATAATATATAATTGCGTGTCTATGAAAATGTTTATGTTATAATCACAAGTATACTTTATACTCAAAATAATATGTTTGTTGTGTGTTTGGATACAATGTATCTTACGTATCTACCTATCTATTGATAGCTGTGTTATTATTTGTCAATGTTTTAAGTGTACCTATATGTTAAATAAACA